CGTGCTCATTACAAATATGGCACTCATTTCTAAATCCAAGATGGCGGACACGATTTTTCAAGAAAATGCTATATGGGTATCATTTTCGAGGTATTTGGGGATGCTTAATGTGCATATGGCACTATTTGTAAATTCAAGATGGCGGGCACGATTTTTCGAATAATGGCAAGTTTTCGAGGTATTTGGGGGTGCTCATTACGAATATGGCTTTTGTTTGAACAGTCGTGTCTGCCATCTTGGATTTAGAAATGAGTGCCATATTCGTATTGAACATCCCCAAATATCTCGAAAACGATACCCAACTTGCAATTATTCGAAAAATTGTGCCCGCCATCTTGGATTTAGAAATGATTGCCATATTCGTATTGAGCATCCCCAAATACCTCGAAAAGGATACCCATATAGCATTTTTTGAAAAATCGTGTCCACCATCATGGATTTACAAATAAGTGCTATATTCGTAATAAGTACCCCCAAATATCTCGAAAACGATACTCAACTTGCCATTATTCGAAAAATCGCGTCCGCCATCTTGGATTTAGAAATGTGTGTCATATTTGTAATGAGCATCCCCAAATACCTCGAAAAGGATACCCATATTGCATTTTTTTAGAAATCGTGTCCGCCATCTTGTATTTAGAAATAAGTGCTATATTCCTAATGAGCACCCCCAAATACCTCGGAAACGACACCCAGATTCAAAATCAAAATAATCTTTATTTTATAGGTAAGCATTATTACACTTGAAATCGTCACATTGGTTAAACTTTACCGCTCATTCGTAAGGCAGACTCTAGTGGTTGCTCTTTGTAAACAACATTTGTACGCATTCAACTTGCAGAAATGTAGGTTAAATGCACACTTACATTAGAAAAAATGTTGAATGTGTGCGTTATTTATTTATTTTATTTAAATAAAAAGTCTGCAGCCGTCGCGATATTGCCTATTCTCAAACAATTACGTTATATAATTATTTTGAAACATAATAGCAAAATTGGGAGAAAGAAATCCGTCCTTTGCAACATTTTCGTGTCTTGTTGCAACGAAATTAATTTTCGGTTTTAGTGAATATTTATATAAAAATACAAGTTGAAACGCGTTACTTCCTTGTGGATTGTGATGTTAGTATCTATTTTATGTTTGTCTGACGTATTTTACACTCATTTACCGCACATTTCGTCATTTTTAGCTAAAATTCTGGAGCTGTTCGCAGTGCAAGTTGACCTTGAGCACTGAAGGCCCGCCCGCTCGTGTAGGCCCATTGGGCGTACTTCAACTTGCCTCACTTAGCGTGTGCGGACTAGGTTTCTATGCGTTATTATTCTAAGATTGTAGACATTTCGCGTCCTTATTTCACCACTGTAGGTAGATTGTAAACTTTTATCGAAAAAGTGTTCGACTAATAACATAATGTTTAAATTTTTCATGTATAGGGGGTATTTTGCAGTGGTGGAACAAACCGCGGTAATCGTCTTTGTACTTTAATTTAATTTTAGAAGGTACTGTAGTTTTTAATATTCTGTTGTTGTTGCAACGACTCTCACCTCTGCAGTCTGTACATAATTAAAAAAACGAATACTTACCAATTTTGAAAACAGTTAGATTAATTTATTTTCGCGTCCTGTTTGATTATTATACAAACTGGGCCCAGAATATCTCTGAAAGATAACATATATTTTGTTTATAGTAATTAACATTCTAAATATGGCATCACAGCACATTCATGAAAATGTAGTTTGTGTTAAAAATAATTGTATTTTTTTTTTTTCAAAAAATGTAGTGATAACTCTTAATATTAACAGAGAAAGGAACAAAGATTAACTAGCCGCTCTTGACAGTCGTCCTCACATGGTCAAAAATTCATTTAACAGGCAATGTTATAAATATACGCTTCTACTATATAATTTAACTGTCTCCGTGGCCGAACGGTTACCATGCTGGACTGCCACGCAGAGGTCCCAGGTTCGATTCCCGAGCCGGGAGAAATATTTGTATGGCCTACATTTATCGTGAGTTTGGTTGTAATTTGTAGTTGTCTATATGTGTGTCCATGGCACCCGCGACACAGGGTTTCCCTAGTGCGGAGCTATGAGTTGACTGTGTGCGTTATTTATTATTATAACATTCTGATATTAAAAAATTGCTATTATCGAAGCTTAAAACTACCTTGCAACAAAAACTTTTATTTTACAACTTTTGCATACTGAGAAAACAAAAAAAACCTAAGGCATTCGTTTGGCGCTTTTAGGTACTGTCTACCTGTGCTATTTTAGTATAAATTTTAAATGTAAATGAGTTATCTACGAAATAACAACACTCATAGTGATACCTACCCCTCATTTTCAGAGGGGAATCTGCCTTACTATCTTTTTGACGATTACAATTGAAGGGTTGTAAGTCTAAAGGGTCTAAGTGCCAATTTTATTGTTTAGAGATATAACGAAAAAACACAACAGAAGAAATATTTTAAAGAAATAATTATTTATTTTAACTTAAATCAATTAAACACATATCTTATAACTACTGGAAGTAGTAAAAATCGAAAAAAAAAATAGGAATCCAAGGAAGTAATACAAAATAAACATTCATTCTTTTACAATGTCGTTAGTGCCTTAAGAAGTAATATTGAATGTGGTCTAAGTGCCTTTATAAAAGATATTAAATAAGTTCTCAGGTTTCGGTTTCAGTAATCAAATGTTCATAGAACGCTTTATTTTCGGTGGGTATGTATGGTAGCATGTCCTTCAAATCTTTCAATTTTTCTTTTGAAATATTATTTTTAGCTTCTAACACTGGCAAAGTGTAGTTTTTTAACTGGTTTGGAGACTTGTTTTTTTTGAAAATATTGACGCTGTCACACGGTGTTGAGTCATTGTGTGATTCCATTAAATCAACACGAGGTAACTTATCTTTGTCGATGCAGATCCAAGAAATAGTCGATATTTTTAACTTTGTAGTATTTAAGAATACTGCGGAGGTCTTATTCGGGTCTTTAAAATCATTTCGGTCGAATTTAATCACTTCAAATGGATATTTGTGACATGATTCTCGTATCATTTTTTCCACATCCTTTGGTTCAAAACATTTAACTACTTTCTTTCGAAATCTCGAAATCTCGATCGCAGGACGTGAATGAGTGACCACTGACCAAGTATTTATGATCAATAATATCATTAATGCCATTAGCTACCAAATACGTCAAGGCAAAAAGAACCATTCTGTTTTTGTTCTGTCCTATGCAGTTATCACTCCAAATAACTGCATGTTTTTTTACAGTTTTGGTTGACATCAAGTTTAGTATATTGAGTATAGAAGAGCCGATCTCATTACCACCTCTTCCCGCAATGACTCATTCCAGAGGCACATGTAAACTTGTTGATTGCCAGCAATATGAACACATAGGTTATAGCATGATAGTTGCCTGCTGTAAAACATTTGACTATGTGTCAGTGTTGGTATAAAAATTACTTGTTGCATATCCATAGCCATCGATATTGTGTTACTAGCTGGAGACTGAGATTCTGTTGAATCAGCCTTCATAGCTTTTTGTGCACTCTCAGCTTTACAATGATGTATTTCTAGCTCTACAGTATATTTCGTTTTATCTCTTCCTTCCGAGCTTTTTACTTTTGCGTGCAACAAATCACACGTTGGGCAAGTATCGGTTCTAGGACGTCCAAACTTCAAATTAGGGAACTTATTTTTGAACATTAAATAGCAATATCTGTAGTTAACAGGAGAATCGGGGTATTTTTCTTTAAATGCCAGGAATAAACGGTTAATATTCAAGTCAGGGCTAAGATAGTACTTTTGGGTATCATGTCGACTGTAATGACTTTCCTGATATGGAAATGATTTTATGTGTTCTACTCATTGACTTACAAATAAATGGACGACGGGTCTAATACAAAAACCACGAAAAAAATGTCCCAAGTCAACCTATTTAAACGTAGTGACATGTAAAGGAATATGAAAAAGCTAAAACGTTGAATTTAAATTGTTATGTCATCGCAGTACTGTCTAATTTTGCTTGCTTCACTGTCAGTCGAACAAACGAAGACTAAAGCGTGAATGACGCTCTGTATACGATTTTAACGCCCTATAAGTTCGGACACTTTTTAGCGCGGACCCGACGTCCATATAATTGTAAGTCAATGGTTCTACTACAAGATTTTCTTCATTAGGTAAATTTTCTCGCCTTGTTTCCTGTTCCACGGTTGTCTTTATAAATATTTTCTCCACTCTTCTTTTTCTTTCTCTTCTTTTCTTGAGCGAAAGATCGTTGGCACTTAGACCCCGCCACAACTTTATTTGTGTGTGTGTAAGATTTTAAAAGAAACAAGCACTTGGACCCATTTGGATATTTTTACGCTTGGCACTTAGATTGTATTTTCGTAAAAATATTGACTTATGATTTTTTGGCACTTAGACCCTTTAGACTTACAACCCTTCAATTGTAATTAGTTTACCTAGTTTTAAATTCTTCTTTCTTGCAGTAGATTCAAATTCAAAAAATCTTTATGTCAATAAGATGTTTTGAATCTTTTACAAGGAAGAAGAATTTACAATATTTTTTGCTTGATCAACAATCTTTTTAAGATTTTTGTAAAAATAAACTTAACGAAATTTACTGCCTTGAAGACACTGTGTTCTTACGATTTGTTTCAGGTCCTTATATACAGGGATAAATATGTAGAAGGTGCGAACAATGCACCAGTGGCAATATTAGAAGACAACCTAATGAATCATCTACTAGGATTTTCACAAATCATATCTCTACTAGCCACTTATCAGAAGCCTATTATAGGACATAATATGTTCCTTGACATTGTATTATTACACACGCAGTTCATTGGACCATTACCTATGAAATATAGCAAGTTCAAAAAGAATATTCATGAAATGTTCCCTGTAATATTTGATACGAAACTGATTTCTCATGAAATGGGGAAAAAGCTAACGTTTGATGAAGTATGGAAGTCTAACGTATTACAAGAGTAAGTAGTCTTCTTTTAAAAACCAATATTACTAAATGTGACGTAAAAATGTGGAGTTTTAGCCTGTGTAGCAAAATGCTACACAAAATTACATATGGAATTGTTTTACAATGATTCATTTTCTTATCTTCAGTTTGTATGAATTCTTCTCTGAGGGAAAATGTAAGAAGTTGCAGACCGGGGTGAATCTTATAAAATTGAGTACGCCTTTTGACGTGAAGCAGACGTACCACGAAGCTGGGTGGGACTCGTATTGTTCAGGTGAATGCATATATTTATAGTTATAGTTTATATTAACTTCATGGATAATTTATACTTCCACACAAAAATCTTATTATGAGTTGCTTTTTTGATGCTGGTAGATACAAATGGCCTTCCATATATTATGTGTGTGGGCTGAGGGAGCACATGATTTTTTCCAGTTGTTATTTCTTTCACCAGTAAAGACTTTCAACTGGTGAACTAACCGTATCGTGAGTGTCCACGTCTCGTCATAACAGGTAGAACACACTGATTGAAGATCTTCGTTTTCAAACTCTGCTGTATAGGTAACCTACGGCAAACTAAATACTTGCCCAGAAGTGGAAGCTTTGGTGTGAGAATTGAGAGACCACACCTTAGATGGTATTGCTTTTTAATGTATTCTTTACAAATTCCAGGATGTGTTTTACAAAATGCTTTACAACTTTTACTAAACCTTCCAGTTATTACAACTGGCAAAAATCATGTGGTCCCTCAGTCCACACAGACACCATATATTATATCTTATACTGGCATTTCACATGGTTATTTGTATTTGCTATTGGGTAGTTGTTGTTCTTGGAAAAATACTTGACGAACAGACATGCAGACACTGAGAAATATAACTCTCTACGCATGGAGCTAAATAAGGAGCTAAAATAATGAATATGACAATAATGTAGTTAACTGCCTCCATGGCCGAACGATTACCATGCCGGACTGCTACGCAAAGGTCCCAGGTTCGATTCCCGGGCCGGGAGAAATATTTGTGTGGCCTACATTTATTTCTCTCGTCAGTTTGGGTGTAATTTGTGGTTGTCTTTGTGTGTGTCCATTGCACCCGCGACACAGGGTTTCCCTAGTGCGGGGCTATGTTGAGTGTATGCGTTATTATTATTATTATATTGTGAACGGCTTATTTGCGCATTTGCCTATTTAACTCCTTTGATGTGCGTCAAGAAACCGACCAGCGCGCGATAAAGCTTCTTTGCTGTTTGCTGTATTTGTCGAATAAACAAACAAGGCAAATACTTTGTTACACATGCACATGGTGATTGTTTGCCAAATACGCAAATACAAATAGCCATGTGAAGTGCCACTATTAAATCTCATAATATGATAAATTTTTTGGCAGTTTGAGTTGCGATTACCATTATATAATAATAGTAGTAATACTTTTTATTTCTCCACAAAATACAACAACAAATAAGAAGTACATAAACAATCTTAGTAATTTTAGAACAATATTTTGTAAGAACTGGTGCTTGCTATAGGTTTAACACCTGTGCTACAAGTCACCAGGCCCCAACCCTTGGAAATGAAATATATGTTACTAGGTATACATATACCAACCACAAATTATATGTATGAGAGAGAAAAAAGATGACAGAAATAAGAATATTCATATAAAAAAATTATGAATTTCTGAAAAACCTTCGAGATAATTCTTCTATGTCGCGCGCTGTGTGTGTGTGTGTGTTTTTGATTGTGTGTGGTTTGGGTGTGTGTGGTTTGGGTGTGTGTGTGTGTGTGTGTGTGTGTGTGTGTGTGTGTGTGTGTGTG